GCTTTAGACTCTGATCAGAGGGTCGCGGATTCGAGCCTGGCGGGTGGTCCACCACTTGAGTCTAGGTATGACTGGATGACGATGGCTAATAAGCCAGAAATGACCATTCCAGTCTCCCTTGTCTTTGTCGGTAATATTATTTGCCCATACTACTAGCTGTTACAGCTGCCGTCAGGGCACGAGAAATGATGCCCAAGGCAAAGGCGTGAACATTCATTTACGAGTTTTATCACTACATGCCCTGCACTCAGAGGTGCCTTAAAGCCGAAGTTCCACCAGGTTCTCCACATTAGTCGGTTGTTTCATGCACAGATCGGACACCCGCAAACTGGACTCCATGATCCATTCAGAACAAACTGGGTTTGCGAGCATTCGACAACCGACCAGCATCCAGAACGGCACGCCAAACTGAAAAGTCGACAAGCGACCAAAAATCGATAACGAAGTGCCACCGCAAAATTGAATTTTTATCAGTGACCCCATCCAAAACGGAATGCCGGACGGAAAAGTTGATAAGCGATCAAAATCGATAACGCAGTGTCATCGCAAAATTGAATTTTTATCAGTGACTCCATCCAGAACGGCACGCCACACTGAAAAGTTGAAACATGCAGGGCGCCTCGTTGATAGTGAGCAAAAGTCGATAACGCAGTGTCATCGCAAAATTAAATTTTCATCAGTGACTCCATCAGCCAGTCTTATCATCAATGCGCGGTGGGGCTGTTCTTTCCTATTATATGGTTTCGTTGCGTTGCTTGCCCCTTTTTTTAAAAACTGCTGTAGATGTATACGTGGGCGTTTATCATACGAAATGGGTTCGGGTTGGTTACCGTCCCCTCACTAGTCCTACCGACTCTTAGGCGAAATTTGTATCCTGACACTGTCATTGTTAAATAATCGTTTAGACCTCCTAGTCACCACCAGCTTGATTGCCCTCCGTTCATTGAGGTATTCGTTATTTTTTAACTCCATCTAACCCACAATCAGTCCTTGAACTATGCTCGTAAATTCAGAAGATCGTGCCCCAGGTTAAATTCGTTAAACTGTTGCAACACCAGGCCCTACGGAGTTCGGGCTTTTTGGCTGGATTGTCCTCTGTGTACTTCGTCAATATTTTGAGGCAACAGGGCGAAATATGCCAAAGCGGGTCTTTTTATGTCACTTCTCCCACAGAACTCCCCTGCCATTGACTATCCTTCTCCACTCCCTTGTTTTCTCACTCCTTTTGCAGAGTGATGGTTCTCCAAAACGGTCGTCTTGTTGAAATGGACTCCCCGCAAGAGTTGATGGCTCGTCCCACGTCGATTTTCCACTGCTTAGCTCAGGAGGCCAACCTGCTGGCACAGGACGGCCCGCAGTCGTCGGCTGAAGATCGTCCGCTGAGATAATGCAGTCGCCGCCTATGTGCTCTCTCGCCTTAGACTCACTCCTACTCCCTTTTATGTGGACCCATTTTTATTTAAATCTGAGTTGATTTGCACTCTCATTGGTAGGGCCCAGGGGCCACTGTTGCCATGCCGCAACCCCCTTGGTTGTCCTGCTCCACCACTGTTAATCTGCAAACTTTAATTAGTTAATTGTCTCTCTCCTCCTCCATCCTCTCATTCATTGTTGCCCATTCCTACTGAGCTATGCCCATATTGCGCGAATTTCGTAAACTACAATTAAACGTTCGTTCATCTTCACATGCTTTTGCTATTTCTTCACAGGTGCAGGGATTGCCGCTAGAATAGACATAGACGAACAGTTTAGTGCATTTTTTACCATGGGG